AACGGGTCAAAGAAAATGTAACCATTGTGTTCATACTCATAGTATTGGCCATGAGATAAACAGAGTTGGGAATGTTTTTCAAATGTCCATTCATGACCATTGAATATCATTTGATATTCACCGGAAGTCACGTGGCTTTCGTTGAATATCGCTAGTTATTTTTTAGTCACGTGTAGGACATGGACCAATAAGAGAGTGGCAAATATGACGGTGATATAATAATGTTCAATATTCAATGTTCAATATTATGTTTGTTTTGTTCAATATATTTTACATAATTCTGAATATCGGTTTTTTCTAATTAGTATATTAAAACAAAATTTCCAAATTGCGTGTTTGATTATCATTATTTTCTTCTTTACATGTAATCTTTACAAAGTTTATTAGCTTAGAAGGGGTAGGGCATTGCCCTGCATAATAAGAACTGAAGAAAATATCAAGAAAGTAACAGATAAAATATCCATCTACGGTCAACTAGCCACCATTTGATCAAAAATAACAGATACGAATAATAAAAAATTATGAAGAGTTCAAATGTTTCAAAACTGGTCACAAGCAGGTTTTTACTGACCAAAATAAACTTGTTCGACTCCAGTGAGCAAAATTATTTCATACCATTAAGGCTTTTGATGTTAGATATAAGATATCTTATTTACTGATGAAACAATCTTTCCTCTTTGTGGATATCTCATTAAGCAGACAGTTAAGTATATGGGAAGAAAAATCACAGCTGCTTGCTAATAGGTTTAGATTAAGCAAAGGAGCAAGTTCAGCAAGTTAGTCCCTTACCCTAATATGGTATTGGCAGATATGACACAGAAAATAAAACGGACATTTGACGTTTGACAAATGGGGGTTAAAATCATTGGACAGACATACAGGGACATGATTACAGAGTTCATCCGGCAACAAATTGCTAAAATATTCCAATAATCACGGAAATGCATCTTTCAGCAGGACTCAGTCACAGCCCATCATGTTTGTGAAACTGCCACAATGCTACAGGGACTCATCAAAAGATGATAACACCAGATTGGAATAAAGACACTTATTCCAGAAAAAATAAGTTGCTTTATCATGTTCAAATAAAAGATGCAAAATTGGTATCTTAGCAGAATATGGCCATCATTGAAAAGCTGTAATTAAAACGAATATCAATCATGAGTTAGACAAATTATTTTGTATATTAAGAATGCTTTAAAGCTTATCCTGCGAAAATTTCAGGAAAAGGTATTGAGAATTGAAAAGGTTATCAGGAAAAAAAGATGTATGACCATTGTTCTGTCTCGACTACAAGCTTCAGTCTTGACTGAAAATATTTTGAAACATTTTCAACTTTATACAGGGTATTATTTGAAAGTGTTCTTATTAATGTTTGCTCCTTAATTGACCGAAATGTATTTTTGTATAGTTAGACCATAAAATGGGGTCATTGTGCGATCATTGCCGATGTCTCCTTGTTTCTTCGTTTCCCCATCTCTTGTCGTGCATTCCATTCTCTTACAGAATTTATTAAGTATTTTCTCATCCTGGGCTTAGCTTCCTGGTCATCCCAACCCCAAGTCAACTTTGGTTAATATCTACATCTAATTAAAAAATGTAATATAAGTTTTTCAATATACAAAACATATAGAGGTTGAGTTTTACTGGGGTTGAGTTTTACAGGGTTGAGTTTACTTGGAGTTGAGTTTTACTGGGGTTGACTTGACTTGGGGTTGAGATGACTTGGGTTTGAGTTTTACTGGGTTGAGACGACCTGTCACGATTAGATCATATATTCATTTTACTTTTAGGGCAGATAAACATCCAGACTATCCATTCCATGAGGACTTCTAAAGAATCAAGTATTACTCGAACGCAGCAAGAGATTGCAGATTTCAATGACCATGAGAATTAGCCAACAAGAATATTATCACACCGGAATAACCTGACAACGGTAAAGTCAGATACCGTTGTCACAAATTGCGTACATAACCGTCGCTTCAATTAGATTTTCATGAACTGCATGTTTAGTAGAGCACCTAGATTAAATTCCTTTGGAACAACAATCAATCAAAGTGTCTTTATATTTATTGTACACTTAATAATGTTCTACCATCGAAATAAAGTCTTTAATTTAACCGATCGAAATGAGATACGAGACAAAGGACACTGTTTTACCATATGCCCTTGTCATTGTAAATTATTTCAAATTCAGATTCCGTTGTCATTGACGATATCGAAGACGCTATATTGTGGCGATTCACGACCAAATTTGATCGAAATTGGGATTTCATATAATCTCGTACATCATCACAACAGCTTAATACATGCACAGAATTAGCGACGATAAAGTCCAATGAAATGAGGACCAAGTGATTAAAGAGTTGAAGCGATGGTTATGGCATCCTACAACGGTATCCTACTTTACCGTAGCCAGGCTATTCCGGTGTGATTATGGAATTTTGAGTAATATCAAAAATTTATATGATATTTGGAACACTTCGCTATGGTAACAATTTGATTATAACACTCCAGTCGTTTAATTAAAAAAAGTTGTGGTTATACCGATAGACAGTTATGATTCAATGAACATCATTCACTATACAGAACCATTAAAGATATTGTATATTTAGGACTTTCGAAATAGATTTTTAGAAGCAATTCTGGCCTCCTTTTATAAAAAGGTAGATCTCTAAGACAAGTAGGCAAGTAGGCCTACGAGTGCATTAACGTATCTACAATTCAGCATAGACATACTTTTGATGTTTTAACTTGAACCCTTCAAAGACTGTATCATGCCCTACGTATGAGGTACAGAGGGGGAGAAACACCAGGGTTCAAAGATGACATACGCTTATAATGTAAATCTGTATTGAGATGACATCGTAGCTGATTGGTCAAAAGTCGACAAACAAATGACGTCATCAATGGCGGTTTCAAAATTTTCAAAATACGCTTCGAATAATATTATGTTCATTTCTGGCGTGTTAACCAATATCATAGCTTCTCATTTCACATCAAGATAAAGAAAGGTGTACAGAATATGCCTATATCAATTAAAACATCCCATCGAAGTGTAGTTTTTGATTACTAGCCGATTAAAATTCGAACGAACAAAGGTGGTAAGCAAGAGAGGTAATTATGTCATCTTTAAACTCTAGGGCTTTCCCTCCTCTTTATGAGGTACGAGGTTCCTTATACAAAGCCATAGCTTCGTGTACTTCATAGTACTTGCCAATCTTTCTTAGTATCTTTCGCACATTCATACTACAGTATACTTGTGATATAATCACGGGGGATAAGCAAAACGAGGGCGAAGCCACGGACTGCGACTCGCGTAATTCAAAACGAGGTTACAACGCATTATAGCTGAACAATGGCGGTAAGTCCAAACTTAATTTGGAAGGCATGTTAGGATTTGGGGTAGATTATTGGTTTGGATATTCTACAGAATAGCTAGTATGTTCCAGTCGGTGATCAACATATTCATACTCCACCTGCAATGGCATTCTTGGTGCTCGGCTGTCCAATAGTTTAGCATGAACACAAATGAATTCGAAATCTGCCACAAAAAATGTAATTTGGTCAATATTCAGATATTTGTCCCTAATATACCGATTTAAACAAAGGAATCAGAAATGACATCGAATTAATATAATTATTCATGTTCTGTTGTTACAATTACATCTTCGTGTGATATTTGGTAAGCGGAAAACGTACAATTACATAGAAAATTGGAATTTATAATAGTCGCAGTCCATCCATCTGCCCAACGCAGTCCGCGACTCAGTGTTGCTTTATATCTGAAGCTGAACGCAATCACAGCCAAAGGTAGATAGCACAATGTGTGTACAGGTGTGGCCGAAATGGAGCAACTTTGGACAAAATTGAATATAAAGGGCTATTTTAATAGACCTACATCGTGTCTCAATCCATTCTGCAAATATATACAAGCTGTCAAATACAGCTGAAATCATGAATTTATGGTAGCTAGCAATATTGATGGACTGTTGGAAAGATCATCCAAAATTACATTAACTCACCAACTCTCCAATTATTTGATATTTTCCTGATATCTTAAATACTAGTTAATGTACCCTTCCCCAACAGCTTTTATTGCATCATCAAAAAGTTAATTGTTTCGCATTTCTACTTCTTATAAAAAGTCTCACCACTATCCAATTATCTATATATTTAACCCTATCCACAAATTGGTTTAGTAATAAACATATTACGTTGACATCTTGCGCTCGACTGTTCTGCCAAATACGCTATTGAATTGCCATATTTCTAGGTCTTAAACGATACAATATAGCAATTTGGGACATTGATTCAGGTAATAGATATATGTTAATCAACGTAACTTTGAATGATAATCTGGATGCTGACTTTCTTTTCCTGAAACAATAAAAGCGTAGGAATATAGTTTACACTATCTTATTTATTTCGTGTTCGCGGCTGGACTGCGTTGCTTAGAATATCAATGGAGGCTGTGTTGTGTTGTTGAAATAGCTTTGTTTACTGGACTGCGTCCACTATGAATGCGCAGTTTGAATCTAATTTTCTCCTCATGAACACATTCTGTTATCAAATCATTTTCACGAATTATACTCGGAGCCTCAACTAACCTTTAGATATCAGAAACGTGTTAAAACTCCTTTCAAATGTATAGTAAATTAAATAATATGCACACATTTTACAGGTAAAATCAGAACTTTGCTACTGTTTTAGCTTGATCTGGACAACTGCTTATTTTCTTATCTACAGACCAACAGTAGATACAGAGTAATATTTTGGTCACCGATTAGACACTACGATAGCATTTAAAATACCTGGATTTCTCTATTTTGTCGGAAGAAGCAGAAGGCACTGCCGGATGTCCCTCCATTTTGGCGCTGGGCTGCGGTGTAAAGTTAGGCGAGTCGCAGTCCGTGGCTTCGCCCTCGTTTTGCTTATCCTCCGTGATAATGTTGTGATTGGTGAAAAGGACGTGTGTAATTAAAAATAAGCTATGTCATTGCCGGGATATTTATTGTGGCCTTTTTGTGATAAAACATATAATACCGCGATATATCAGATTTAATACAAGTACATGTAACATGTAAGTCATTAAGAGTGAATGCGTATTCCGGAGACTAGAAATTCACTGTGCCAGTACCAACCCTCTACCGTAAGTTCATCCAGGCATCCATGAGAGTATACACATCTTCGTTTAGATGTTCTTTATAATCATATCATCATCAATAATGTCATCAAACTTCAACCATTTGTTTAGCTTGTTAAAGAGCCAAGCCTCAGACTTTGTTCTTTCCGCACGACGGGAATTTTCCAAGTAAACACTGAATTGTTTCAAGATCTCTTCATGGCGTGACGTCATCTTCTTGACGAACTCAACTGTCTGGAAATTCAGGACTGTGGATTAATCAGACTAAAGATCACAAAATTAGGACATGATATGGGTGTATAGTATATTACTTTCATTGCGTTATAAGTCCTTGCGGAAAGTTAAACGTAGATCTTCAAGAAGCCTTATTCATAACGCCAACGTAACTATTTCCATTTTCGTCCACCGTAACTCAATTGTACGCTCAATTCTCCGTCGTATTCATAAACATATGCGGAAATTGAAGATCTACGAGATTTGGCGATACTTGAATTAATGGTGGAACGGCACAGTTCCTCCTTATTGGGGAACTTATGTCGGTCCATACTATTCGCTGTACCAACTCCAAAATTAAATGCCTCGGTAATCTAAACCTCGTAAGAATCTCCCTATCATCAAAGATTTCGAGGGGATTGCTACGATCCCTAAACAAAGAGTCTTTCCAAAGATGCGCACATCTACCACAAACGCCATTTTGGCTTGTAGTACATGCGTTCTTTTTTCAATCACGTAATGATAACGCATTAGCATTTGAAAGTGATCTACGTTGAACGTATACGAAAGATACGTAGCTGTTTTCGCTTTAACAACTGAAAATTAATGTGTTTGTGTAACTAAAATTAATTAAGCAGTGTTTTTAAGGCGGGGCGTAAAGTTACACGGTGAAGATACTTGACGTAAATATTTTGTAAGATCCGCAGGACTTAACGTTCATCGTAAAGTTACGCTTGCTTTAGGAATACCAAGTTTCCGCAATACGATACGTTGACGTAAGTCCTACGTTGGCTTTATGAATAAGGCTTCTGATCTTAATCCTTTTCGAAGTTCCGTTTACGTAACAAAAGTATATGACTTTCTGAGGTTATTACATTTTGTTACCGAAACGTTTCGGTTACCATCGTAATCGAGTGGATCACCGATGTATTTCAAGCAGTACCCCAACAAGACCTGTACCAAGGCTAGAAGAAGACCTAACATATTTTGCCATGCACTGCGCCTATTCATTTGGCAATTCAGTTGTAAATTTTCTCTTGAAAAAAATTGCCCACTCCCCCCTCCATCCATTTTGTACGATCACCGGGCGTGATATACTTGCCTGTCTTCCTTCATGATTGCCTTTTTAACCTGTTTTTGAATTTATGATCCATTTTTATATTGTTGACTTACCGCTTGGTCTTCAAATGTTTTTGCCTCTTCGCCTGCAAGCTTTAATTGGGTGAGGTAGTCTCTGATAGCCTCCATGGTCTTCTCAAAAGCATCGTAGAAACACCAATCGTTAGAATAAGCAACCTGGACGGACAAATTAGGAAAAAATTAATACAGAACACAATCGCCAATTTGGCAATTTGGCCGCCGTACATCTAGATTTGGTGTTCACATGTCAGTAAAACTATACATCATTCCATATGACTAAGAATAGAGGAAAGTTGAGTATCAAAATGAATGACCATGTTTCCCCAATAATTCCAATGTACCATTGGAAGGGTGAGAGTGTTAACTTTGAGGATCTGACCTCAGTTAGAAGGTTTGCGTATGGGAAAGCTGAAAAATTAACCCTTTCATCACCAAGGGGTTAAATCTAGCTCCTGATCCTTAAAAATCCTTAAAATCCTTAAAAACCAGTTTATTCTATTACAAGGTGTTATTTAAACACTGACAATGTATGAAAGAATTTACGCCACGTAGTGCAATAATATACGCAACTAAATTAAAGGATTTAAGCACTGGATTCAATGATTTGTTTATATGTGTAATATGTTACTCGTTAATTGTAGGCTAGCCTTAATCCCTGCGACTTTTGGTCTTGAACAATTAACTTGAATGATACATTTCACAAAATAAGATGAGTCCGGCGCCTAAACGTTGTCAAATATTGGACGAGTATGGCGACTTGAAGTATCAAACCTTTTGCAAAACTATTTTGTTAAGGGCATCGAGTCGCATCAAATTGGTCGGATGAGTCCTAAACTCTTTGCAGCGGTCATTAGCCTACACTCCCCTCCATAAGTTTGGCAACCTTTTTTCTCCATTGAACTACGTGTTAAAGCCTCTTTACGTTTGAATTTTTATTTACTTAACCGGCGATGAAATAACTTATAATATTGATGGAAACGTAATTTGACTTTATTTCCAAAACCTCCAAATTTTTTCAATTTTTTTCCTCAATTACAATAGGTCGAAAATTGATGAAAAATTTGATGAATTTTTGAAAATCGTCATTCTCATGTAATCCAATGGGAAATGGAGGGTTCAGGGCAAATCAGAAATCAGGATATCTTTTCAGTAAAAGATTCAGCAAAAAATATTTTCATATAGAAAATTGAATTGTCTAACTTTTTTGAACACTAAGTGTTTAGTTTATTGATGAATATTACAGCGCTTCAAAGTCATTTTTGAAAATTATTTTTCGCCTCCTGTGTTATTTCAATGGGAGAGGTTTTTTGAAAAACAATTTTGACTTTAAAGCCCTATAACTTTGTTGAACCTGAAGAAACATATCATTTTTTTGTTAAATAAAGTTAGCAAATTCAATTACCTGCCTTACTCGTATTTTTTGCAAGGACTCTGATGGATGGATATTCTGTCATATGACTTGCGGAAACCTAATATTTCCCATTGGTTAACATGGGAATGTAGATTTTCAAAAATTCATCAAATTCATCATCAATTTTCGACCTATTGTAATTGAGGAAAAAAATTGAGAAAATTTGGAGGTATTGGAATTAAAGTCAAATTACGTTTCCATCAATAGTTTAAGTATTTTCATCGCAGGTTAAGTAAATAAAAATTCAAAGGTAAAGAGGCTTTAACACGTAGTTCAATGGGGGAAAAAGGTTGCCAAACTTATGGAGGGGAATGTATATGCATTTGTTTCTACTAAATATTTAAAGAAATGCGCATGAAATGAATAGTACTGGTACCCTAACATGCGCTTATAGTTAATATCAATGGACCAGAAATGATAAAATAAAGAATAAGAGGTCATGCATTGTATGCATTTGATGAATACGTTTCAGGAATCTGATTGACATTGACCTGATTTCAAAATGGGTTCTTACATTTATCGCATCAATGACGACACAATCTCCGCGATCTGTGATGTAATATTTCACCGCGTCGGCTTCTCTCCACATAAAGTTAGAAAATGAAACAAAAAAGTCGGCAACATCCAAGAAAGCCACGTCATCTCGCTTAAAGTAAAATCCCTGAAACAGATTACATAGATACAAATGAGACGAATCTGAAAGTTGAGAGGTTGGTATTAGAAGCAAAAACCGTCGTTTTGGGTCCTTTCTAAGCCAATCGACTTTCCCCTAATATCAAATTCGTCGACGGAATGGTAGCTCCCAAATCCCTATTTATGTGCTCTTCGGCCAACTTATGCCAATCTGAATGCCCTTATATGGTGATAGGATTGAAGAATTATTAATTAACACCCTCTGTTTCTCTGACTTAATCAGTTTGTACACTATCCAATGAGTTCTTTTTTCAGGTATCTCTTAGAATGTCACTATATAGCAACACAACAACTGAAAGAATAAACCTTACCATGGACAGTGTGCTATAAGCCAAGCCATCCATTTGGTTGTGCGCATTCGTTAAATAGAATCGTGCGAAGGTGTTAGTCTTCCTTACAACCGAAGAACATGATGCTACAAACAAATGGCAAAGTCTCCTCTCAAGCCAAAATATATGGGGGTTATATGTACTTGGATGTTTTGGATAGAGGGAATATTCCGAGGGATATACAATATATCTAATAAATTTTGTATATCCCAAGGGATATTTCCTGTATCAAAACCGACCTAGCATAACTATTGTATTCCATTCCTGATGAGGTTTGAAATAATTAGCAGGTCATCAACAGGCCAGAGTTCCCCCGTAGTGGCCAAATACTCCTTCAGTACTTGAATATCCAAACGAGTTTTCTTTGCTGAGCTATATAGAGCATCTAAAGCTGTGGTCTACTAGCTATTCGATATATGTACAATATTCTATTAAACGTATGGTTTCCATAAAACATTGCTGAAAAAATGTTACACCTGCCAATGTTATTTTCTGGTACAAATTAAAGTATGGAGGCATGAGTGTATTTCTTTGATTTTTTCAGGAAAGTATCATTACAAAATCTTCTGTCTTCTTTTAGTAAACCTTGTAAGTGGCCAATGGTCAATGTTTCGAGGAGACAATGAAATTATGCTTTCCTGAAAAAGAAAGGAAATACAAAAATGCCTTCATGCTTTATTTTTTACCAGAAAATAACATGCCTTACTGCCATGGTTTGTTACGTTTGACGAGCATGCAAATGTTAGTAATGTCATCGCTACACTACTGTGCTTTTATCATTGTCATTAATTACCCTCATTACCCATGTTTTGGTATCAATATTTTAACCACTTACAGAACAAAGTCACTTCAAATCCTTTTGCAACTCCAAATATATCAGAGCTGAACCATAGATAGAGCGTATTAGTTGTGCTTCTGATACCAATAGGTGCCTGTGTCCCACAATATTCTCCAATGAGACTGGATGTCACAGATGGTCCATCATATATTCTCAGAAAGTCCAAACCTACCTGACAATTTATGTCGAAACGGCTAAACAACAGCTGTATTTCCTATAAAAGTATATATAATTGAGACTTTCCTCATGTCTCTAGCGTAGCAAATGGAATGTAGATTTTTTAAAATTCTTCAGATTTGTCATCGAATTTCCGACCTATTACAGGTTCCAATTTCAGAATATCTCAAGGGAAAAAGTTTATGAGGCGTTTTTTAGAAAAAGCAACAGACATATTTTTTCTGGATCAGTTTTTCATGCTGATAAAGATATTAAAAGATGACAGCTCAACGAGGTGGTCACGACACTGAATTTTAGCGTTTTTACCCCCCTAGGAAATTATCTTAGGGGGTACTATAATATTAGTTCATAACTCAAAGGATATATAAACTATTGTTCTGAGTTCTACAGCATACATTGTTAGTACATAGATGAATACTATCCTTGAGTTATAGGTTGATATCTTTGTTGGTTTCGAAAAAATACAATTTATTAGAAAAAAATATGCAATTTTTGTCATTTTTTCTTGCTTATTTTATATTTGTAGCTTCAAGCAAAATATGATAACTTTAACAGCTCAAAGTAGTATTCTAACAACATTCCCAAGCTATGTGTGATATTGTAATACATCTATTATAGTGATGAAGTACTATTTTGTAATTTTAATATGACTTTATAGTGCCCTACCCCTGGTAAATAGAAGAAAGTTGGTGTGGTTTTCTTCTGGTTTTAACATTTTATTGACTTCTTAGTTGAAGATACAATCAATTCTGTCAGTTTACCATGAGTAGCTTTACAATGGTTAACTATTCCCATGAATAGAGGGTTGGGACCCCAAAAATACCAGAACTGTTAAGTGGCATTCTTGGGCATCCCTCTTCAGAGCATTTTCCTTATACTCCGATGAAATCTGCAGGGGATACTATAAGAAACCTATATATCTAAGATACTAATGAAGATACTGAATTCAAATTTTCAGGATTTGGTCCTGGTATGATAGGTAATCTGTATGACAAAAAGAAAAAACTCTGTTGCCATAGTAACAAGAATACCACACTATTTGTTTCCTAAGAAATGTGTTTTAAGAGGTTTTGTCATTCTCTTCATATTTTTAATTCTAAATATGTCTACAATGTAGGATGATTAGAATTATGGTAAAGTAATCTTTTCTATTGTTTTATTGTTCTCTAAAACAGAAGTTGCTATGGCGACACATAGATCATAGAAAAAATGCTGGGATGATCGCTCTATTTGTCAGGAAATTAAAATGGAAACTGAAAAATGAGTTTCTTCCCACCGAATAGCAATTAATTTGGTAGACCATGGCTGACACGCACAAGAGAAAACGTTTATCAGTTCTATGTCATTTTGTTTTTTTGTTTTTTTATTTATCGTGGTCTGGGACTTATAACACCTAATACCGAGTCTTCTCCAACTGCAAAGGAAGGCAAGATTTTTGATAATGAACATTCATTTATCTCAACAAATATGGCCAAAGATTTGGACAATGATGAGGAAACTCTGAGGGAAAATTAGACGAAATATTAATGTGAGTGGTCCAAAAATAACACTAACATGTTTTGGAAAAGTTATGCTCTCGGATGACTCAGTGCTCATTTAAGGATAGTCTGAATCAGGTTAATCACGTTTTTAACCTAATTGCACCCCTTCCCCAAACCCCCAAATTTTGACTAAATTGTCGAAAAGTAGCAAAAACATTCATTAAAGATCAATATGGCTATTTCGCTTCTATGTCATAAAGATATGATACGATCTCAGGTCAATCAATAAATTTCACAAGTGACACTCTATCTTATGAAGAAAATACTATCGTATTTGAAGACATGTCAAAAATTTGGTTACCCTTTGCATTCGTTTGACTTCACTTCTTAAAAAAGAGCTTCGTCTTCACTCTTTCAAACTAAAATAAACCTGTGAACTCACCGCCCCAATCAGTGTTCGTCGGCCAAATTTGACATGCGCATATTTAATTTGATAATAAAGTCAATTGGACTCGTAGATATTTCACTAGCAATCAACCCATCAATATATTTTTTTAAAGTTGTTGACCTCATTTTCACCAAAAATGGAATCATTTTAACAATGTTTGATGCATTACTATTCTTTATTTTAATGTATCAAATAGCTCTTGAAAAGAAACTGAATTCCCCTAAGATTAGTGTTCCCCATGTTATTTCCCCTTTGAAAAAATTCATGCTGTCCATTGGTTTCAGTTCATTTTGGTCATCCAAATTCAGTGTCTTTAAAGTCCCTGGAGCAATCCACTTTTCCTCTTAGGAAATATAACATGTCTCAAAGCATATTTTAATTATGCATCCAACAATATAATTAAAGGTTGCATCTTTGGTAAAAACTAGGTCATCATTTTTACTAAAAAGTATGTTGATTGGGCCATTCCCTTTAATATCACTCAGGTCTGATTAATCATTATATTTACTCTTCTTGAAGATAATGAATAGATCTAAAAGATATACCAATGTTCATGGTCAGAAAATATTCATAATTCAAGTTAGAATTGACCTTTTTTATATAAATGGAAAATAGATGGCATCAAGAAGTTATTCCATTTGGATCAACTTAAAACATCATTGGAATGTAACTATATGATCTTATTGACATGTGGATTGTGATTTCACATTAAAATTGTGATCCTTGTAAGAGTAAATTAACTTTTAAAGGTTTTTCAGCATTTTGTCAATGGGGATTTAGCCCGACCTTTTTTAGACAACCAGAAAATCATTAGAATTTGAATAATGGTAAATAACAGTGCAAATCAAAGTTGTTTTGATAGAGAATTACTCACAGAATTTAAATATGCCATCAGATGGAAGAAAACGTTAGTTTTTAATGGTTAAAAATGCTGATCTCCTAAAATCTCATTAAAAACAAGACCTTAACGAGATTTCAAAGCTATATGGAAAAAGGACCATTTTCTGAAGTTGTTTGCGATAACCTACATGCTCCTTTATAACATTATTATTATGTAAATACTATCAAATGCTTTAGTCATGACAGTTGAAGTAAACTGACGTCTTGGTATTTAAATGCAGAATCAAATCTATGTAAACAAAATTGAAAGCAATTGAAAGTACAATCTCAAATATAATATCTCCCAAAAGATCAACAATATAAATTATTTATTGGTAATGTTGTTTAAAATTCAAAGTGTAAAAAGGGGGAAATGTTCAAATTCTCCCAAATAATAATAAATAAGTTACACTAAGTTATACAAGTGTGAGGCACCATCAGTGGGAAAGTCATCTTTGGTTAATAAAAAAGATTCTTAGCTACTTTTCTAACATATGGCTGTGATGCATCATGGCTTAATGAGGACTCTGCTATATGGTCAGATAATGAGAACTAACAGTTTTACGGAACTTTTGCCATGTTTTGCACATTGTAAATGACCCTTCTGAATGGGTTGTAAAGGAGGTATATATGGCTCAAATGACTCGTGCCCTAGTACATGGGGCACTGAAGTACATTACTTGTGCATGATGACCACCATAGTCTAGTTGCTCAAATGAGATCAATTGATGATTATAATGTTTAGACTTTATGTCAATGTCCTCTCTAGTATGTGATCACACTAGATTTCATTATGATACATGTACTAAATTGAAAACTTACATATAAAATATCTTAAGTCCTATATTCTAGTAATAAATGAATTAGAATGTCACCTAACATTTGATGATGGTATGAATTTATTGATTTGGTGTCTATCAATACATGTTTCTAACTTAATGCTGCAAAACGATAAAATTCACCACATCCACCTTCTTCAATTTTCCAGAGGTAGGGCACTATAAAGTCATATTAAAATTACAAAATAGTACTTCATAACTAAAATAGATGTATTACAATACCGCACATAGCTTGGAAATGTTTTTAGAATACTACTATGAGCTGTTTAAGCTGTCATATTTTGCTTGAAGCTACAAATATAAAATTGGCAAGACAAAAATTGCGTATCTTTTTCCTGTTTATTGTATTTTTTCTGAGACCAATAAGGGTATCAACCTATAACTTTAGGATAGTATTCATATTTGTACTAGCAATGTATGGTGTACAACTCAGAACAATAGCTCATATATCCTTTGAGTTATGAACTAGTTTCATAGTACCCCTAAAATATTTTCCTAGGGGGGTAAAAATGCCAAAATTCAGTGTCGTGACCACCCCGTTGAGCTGTCATCTTTTAATATCTTTATCAGCATGAAACATTGATCGAGTGAAAATAGGTCTGTTGCTTTTTCTAAAAAATGCCTCAAAAACTTGAATTGTTAGAATTGGAACCTGTCTATATTGTGATAGTTGAAAAATCTAAGAGGTATTCTAAATGATGTAAAAGATAGGTATGATGAACTAATTTCAACAATGTTTTTCTCTTAAACCAATTATTGAAAACATTCTGTAAAAAAACACGGTCCTTTATGTAATGTTTGACTGATTGACAACAAGTTAACTGTTTTTAACGTTTTTTTATTTTTAGTGCAATTGTTTTTTGTTCTTTTCTACAATTCTCGAGAATGAAATAAAATGTCTTTCCGAACCTTGTTGGAACAAAATAGCATATACGAGCATTTTCATAAACCTCTCAATATTATAGTTACACAAAGGAAATTTTGGTTGATTTAACAAAAAGTATGCAAAAACTTAAAACAAACCCCCCAAAATATATAAAAATTAAGATAAACCTTTTATTTCATTAACAAGATACTTTTTTAAAATCAACCAAACGTTCCTTTGTACAATATGAGAGACCTAAACACGTTGTGTTTAAGTCATTTTGTTCCAATGAGGTTCGGATAGATGTTTCATTTCATTCTGAACATATGATACCAAGAACGAAAGAAGTGTCTGATGTGTTTTCCAAAACAATTTTGAGAAAAGTATATATATAATTCATATTATAATGTTACCATCCAAAATATGACCATTAAATTGACGATGTGTAAAAATTTCAGAATGTTTTGATGACTGGTTTAAGAGAAACGCGTGTTCAAAAAGTTCACCATATCGATAGCACTCCTTTACATTTCTAGCCCTTGAAGTAGTTTCCTCTTAACATCTACTATGCAAATAAGAATTCAAACATAAAGAGGCACGTAATCCAATGGGGGAGTTAAAGTGCTAAACTTTAGGAGGGGAGTGTACATGCAGCGGACAGCAGTTTGTTCTATTCCTATTCACGTGGTGATTCATATTCGTGGTGATTCATATTTGAAAGCTTGTTAAAGACCAAGGAGGATTGGCTCCCAGAGTGCAACATCGATATTCTGTCCCATATATGGACATGTCGTGCTACAAAATTTGAATTCCAACAGCCGCCATTTTGTTCACTTCAGCATTTGAATCGTGAATTTTGGTCTTATTTCCTAACGAAAAATTCCAAAACTCACAGGAAATGATCGAGATATTGGTTCGAATCTTTTGAACTGTTTATTTTGAATTTATAATCGGTTATAATTTCAGAAAATAACGACATCTCGGCGTTTTCATTGTTGGAAAATATCGACTTCGATTCTGGGAGCCAATCCTCCTTGTTAAAGACTTAACTAACTTCTCCGTGGCATTTTTACTTTTTGTTATTTTCACAATGACCATTGTGACCCTAGCCATGTCTATGATATATTGAATATCATGGAATTGATAAGATGTCAAAAAGAGTTGATTTATCTTTAAATGTGTAAATAAAATTTAGGTCGGGAGGTTTAATCCTTGGGACAAATACCAATCATTGTCATGACCAGTATTTCTGGCTTCTAAATATATAGTTGAAAAGGTAGTGCCACGTTGACAAACTTCCATTTGAAAAGGTGTATTAAAGGGTCAGGTCACTAAATTCGTTATATAGAAAATAGGAATGTTTCGCATGCTTCCTTTATTTGAACATTTAGTATCAAATTATGTCTCCAGTAAAATCATGGTATTGAAAATCTCCTCCAGTGACCTATACTTCATCAGCCAAAAGTAGCAAAGTAAAATTTTAGTATTACTTGGAGAAAAGAGATCAACAGGGTGTTTAGGGACAAATTACAAGCGTTCTCTTAAAATTAGCTCAATTCTTTGGCGATTGATTCTCAATGTTTCCGCTACACTAACTTACCTCATTTGTGGACACTGTTATAAGCCATGCACAGTTTTCTAAAGTTGAATAGTCGGTGCCAATGACCAGTGGGTACCGCAATGACCCCCTTGTACCAATTTGACTACCTCCACAATCTGAAAATAGCTCATATAAAACAGGAGTAGCAGTCTATTGTGTTTAAACTGCTTCTTTATTCGGTACATTAAATATTCCGTAAATACCAAATAAAACAAACAATTTACCAAACCTTTACCCAATCTATCGAATATTTTTTCTATTTTATCGAATGTAATAATCTATACAAATTATATTCGCTAAAGAGTTTCACTTGTTCTTTGTGTTGGCATTCACATTTGATATTTATACATGTATTTGTGTGATGCAGCGAATCAATTTGTTTTCCTTAACGCATGTATAATTCAATTAATTATTTGTACATTCGGTGTTTAAATTATTTATATTCGGTAAATACCGAATGCCACATTCGATAAATTTCGTTATTGTTCGATACTTTACGAGACTTTCAGTCGCGTGATATATTTGAACGATGTTAATAGCTGCGCGGCCATTTTGCAAATCTCGAGGTCACGTGACAAAATATCGAACAACAACGAAAGTTATCGAATATTACTTTATTGCATTCGGTAAATAGCAAATTAGGTTTCGGTAAAATGCATTAACTATGTCATAGAAAAATAAACCATTTGGTAAATATAGGCATATAGAATTTGGGTTCACACTTGGTCAAGTCCCGTATTCACTAAATAGGCTTCATTACATTTGGGATGTTGAAGCATCATATGAGAGGTCGTCAGTTTGATTCCGATAAGGGACTGGTTTCAACAGTTCGACCCAATCATGAAGAAATACTAGTATAGTAACAAAAGGAAAACGCGAAAATGTCTTTATTAACTAGGTTTGACAAAAAAGCGTAATCGTTTAGGCTAATGGGATCTATTATAAATAAAATAATCCTCTCCGATAAATGACTCCAAAAGGACATGCAGATAAGATGGATATGTCTGAGCAGGAAATTTTCGTATATTTATCAGTCAAAATTTGCTGACCTGCAGACCACTTTTATCATTAATTTGTATTACTTTCCTCAAATCACTAACCAAAATAACTTACTTTTTCGAGCTTTCGGTAGCAGCTACTACCTTTGTCAAGATGATATATTGGCGGGAAATGGGCTGACCCTTGACCTTGTATGGGTTTTACTCCTGTGTAGTTCCAACAGTCCCGGGGAAACCTTAAATCCAGAGTCCCTGTTAAGTTGTGGCTTGCTTGTATGAATATGAAGTGCTTCCTTTACTTTCCGTTTAAAGTAATGGGGTTCTCTATCTAGAATTTTGTACTCCCAGTTAATCCTATGCGCTTTGGAAACTATATGTTCAGCGATGGCGGATTTATTGGGATTGTTCAGTCTAAAAGCGTCCTTGTGTTCCTTAACTCTTGTATCAATCGCTCTACCGGTTTCACCTATGTAGAGTTCACTACAGTCCTTACATTCAATTTGGTATATTAATCCTGATCTCTCACCTGTGGGGGTGGGATCTTTGGGTGATACTAACATTTGACGTAAGGTTTGAACAGACTTAAAACTAGTCTCTTAACTCCTGCTTCTTGAAAGATGCGTTGAAGTTTGGGAGCAATAGTACTAATATAAGGTAACACTACACTAATTTCCCTATCTACACTGTCACTAGGAGGTCTATCTCTAGGCGTAGCTGGTGATTGGTTTAGAAGCCAAGATGGGTAGCCACAACGAGAGAGAGCTTGAGTGATATGGGCCTGCTCATCCTTAAGCTTAGTAGGGTTAGACACTATCTCTGTGGCTCGTTTATTTAACGTCCTAACTACCCCTCTTTTTGTTGTCAAGGGATGATGGGAATCAAATCGTAAGTAAAGGTCCGTATGTGTTGGCTTACGGTACACACTTACCTATTGTAGGCCAGTCGGCACATCATGTGATTAATACACAGGACTTCGTATCAGCAGTCAAGGACGTTAAGCTTAGCCCATCCGAGACTATCATCAGTTATGATGTCACAGCGCTTTTTACAAGCGTGCCTACTTCCAAAGTGATCCCAATTGTAGTAGATAGGCTAAAAACAGATAGGACTCTCTCAAGTAGGACTTAGCTCACACCAGAACATATAGGTGATCTTTTGAAGATTACATTAGACACAACATATTTCTCGTTCGATAGCCAATTGTACAGTCAGTGCCATGTAGCTGCAATGGGATCCCCGGTGTCTCCCATTATCGCCAACATTTACATGGAGGATTTGGAAGTTAGAGTTCTTAGATTAGCACCCCATCCCCCTCGCATCTGGAAAAGATACGTGGATGATACGTGGGTTTTGTTAGACAAGGACTATGTAGTTGAATTCACTGATTTCATCAACCAGATTGATCCCGATATCAAATTCACCAGTGAAAGTCTTAAGGACGACAAGTTGCATTTTCTAGACACTGTTACAGAGTTAGTGAAATGTAAGGATAGTGTAGACAGATTTTTAGATATAAGTGTGTACCGTAAGCCAACACATACGGACCTTTACTTACGATTTGATTCCCATCACCCCTTGACAACAAAAAGAGGGGTAGTTAGAACGTTAAATAAACGAGCCACAGAGATAGTGTCTAACCCTAGTAAGCTTAAGGATGAGCAGGCCCATATCACTCAAGCTCTCTCTCGTTGTGGCTACCCATCTTGGCTTCTAAACCAAGCACCAGCTACACCTAGAGATAGACCTCCTAGTGACAGTGTAGATAGGGAAATTAGTGTAGTGTTACCTTATATTAGTACTATTGCTCCCAAACTTCAACGCATCTTTCAAGAAGCAGGAGTTAAGACTAGTTTTAAGTCTGTTCAAACCTTACGTCAAATGTTAGTATCACCCAAAGATCCCACCCCACAGGTGAGAGATCAGGATTAAGATACCAAATTGAATGTAAGGACTGTAGTGAACTCTACATAGGTGAAACCGGTAGAGCGATTGATACAAGAGTTAAGGAACACAAGGACGCTTTTAGACTGAACAATCCCAATAAATCCGCCATCGCTGAACATATAGTTTCCAAAGCGCATAGGATTAACTTGGAGTACAAAATTCTAGATAGAGAACCCCATTACTTTAAACCAACGGAAAGTAAAGGAAGCACTTCATATTCATACAAGGAAGCCACAACTTAACAGGGACTCTGGATTTAAGGTTTCCCCGGGACTGTTGGAACTACACAGGAGTAAAACCCATACAAGGTCAAGGGTCAGCCCATTTCCCGCCAATATATCATCTTGACAAAGGTAGTAGCTGCTACCGAAAGCTCGAAAAAGTAAGTTATTTTGGTTAGTGATTTGAGGAAAGTAATACAAATTAATTATCTTTACCTAACCGAAGAATACATTTGGACACACATTTATCATGATTGATACGCAGTAAACACGATAGTAATACGAGGGTTGTCCCAGAAGTTATGCACTATATGCTCTAACTTTCTTTAATATTCTTCAATTCAGCTGAATTTTTGTGTACATTGCAATTGAAGTATTATCTGTTATATCCTGAAGTAGTTTCAACATCATACGTTAATGTTAAGTATTAAAATGGTTGCTATAGCAACACGGGGTAGGAATGGGCTGGGCAGGTACCAATTTTTCTAATCATGAAAAGCTCTAAAGTGTGATTCTTTTTATATTTCTTTCTTTTAAATGACCAAAATATTTGGGAAATTGGGAAATTTATTCAGCATGATGTGCACAAAGCACAAATAATGGCATTTAGTATTGAGATGGCATGTCTTAGTTCAATAGTCACAAATTCAAATTCAGTCACAGTCAAGAAATTGCAAAATGTCTGCAATTATCAAACCTGATAAGAAGGCCTAGCGTTCGTTGGCCCATGTTCATACTTCACAGCCACACAAACGTATGTACCATGAAGAAAGTATGTAAGGAGTATACGGCAGATAGAACTACAATTATGAAGTGGCAGAAGAGATTTAAAAATGATGACTGGACCCTGGATGACAACTCCAAACGTGGGAGGCCAAACACCTCACCTTGTCACCTGTTTTTCAAGGTGGAAGAAATGGCTAAGAGAGTACCAGGACTGGTTGAGAAAGCATCAAAAGTGCATTACATGCAATGGCCAATATTTTATATTATATTATTATACATCCATTAAATCTAGGATGTGCTTCTAGTAATTTAGTATCTAAAAGTATATTTTTAGCATACTACTTATAGCTACACAAAATTGTATTTGTTGATTAATTATTTCATATTTTCATTTTCTATTCCGTTTGACGTGACAAAAACCTGCCCAACCCTACCCCAACCCATCAACTTGATTTTATTGTAATATCAACGTCATAGTTTTATCAATCGGCATGAAGCTTACTTGTAAAATAATCAAAATATCTCTAAGGAATATTCATAGAAAAGTTCATAGAAAAATATCAAGTATTAATAAAAATAGAGCATACAGTGCATTACTTCTGGAACAACCCTCGTATATGTTATATTCTGCAATGAATATGGCATATTCACTTGCGGTGTACTAGTATGGCAGATTCACCTGCGGTATACCTGCGGTATATAGCTTACTGGGTAACCAATGAGAACATGATACGGAGGTACGCAATCGTCAATCGAATCGATTGTACGAACGGGTAAAAGTTATTGAATTAGTATACTGATTACTGAATCAACAGTTCAGATTATTGATCAACTAATGTAGAAGTGTCACTCAGTAATCTCACGTAATTAACTTACTCAACAAATCAAGGATTCATATATTAGTAGTACTCGAAGTACTAATTATATTGGTAATCCAGCGTAGTTTTATATTGAGAGTCTATTCTCACGACCAATCAAATCAAGGCTTTCAATATCACGTTTTCATCTGCGGTATATGTCATACTCACCTGTGGTATATATGGCATATTCCGCAAGTGAGTATGGCATATTCCGCAGGTGAATATCGGGTATTCACTGAAATCAATGTATCGCATATTCGCTGCAGAATATGCCATACCCGTACACGAATTCCAAACAATAATATTCATTTACATACACAAGATAATTTTATTTTATCTTTAGATTAAACAAATTTTAATTGTTTACCTGATGCTGTCCAAGACAACTCAAATCCATCGAAAGTTGCAATTTCATCACTCTCGAACCGGAGAAAGAGCTGGTTAGTAGTGCTGCTGAATCCTCGACCCTCAACTGGCGAATCAACAAGAAGAAAATCGCCACAAAACCTTCCGATGTAAGGGGATGTCTCAGATGGTCCATCATAGATTTGTAAAAAATCAAAATAACAGTCTTGGTCTGGTTCTAGGTCGAAAACGCTGAATGACACCTGAATCGTCTATAGAAACATACAAAATTATAAAATGTTTCAATTCACGACGTCCAATTGATATCGACTGTATTTTCAACGAATCGTTTCCGACTTAACTGGTAGCTCTTTGTCTTCCGTTAATTAAGTCAGTGACAAAAGTTAGGTTGTTGTTTATAATTTAGAAGCATACACACCTTTTTTGTAGAGACAGTGACAGTCCATGTAGTTAATGGGCTGATCAGAGTGTGCCTCTGCCCAACAAAGACAATTCTGACCAAATACGTACAATTTAAGAAGCAAAATGTTAAATAACACACACCTTGCCTGTGGAAACTGTGATAGTCCATATACAAATTTCATCGTTCTGGTATCCAAATGGGACTGGATATTGTAGTAACCCACTGTCTCCAACTAGACTATCGCCACATGCTAAAGGCAAAAAATGTAATTACACAGGCATCAGCTAGTGAGTAGTTGTAAATATTTAAAATGTGCAATGAGCCTTATCAGAGTGTAATTCCAAATCATTCTCGGAGGGTTTACTTAATTAAGTAGTACATTGTTTGAACTTAATGAATGAGAACAGTACATTTGAATGATCCAATCTTTGATAGTACAGGGTGGCCAGATCAGTTTAACTTAGAAACGAAGGTATGTTCTACCCTGGTTCTGTTTTGACAATCTATTGTTCTTGAATATCGAGTCTTTAAAAAACTTAGAATCACAAGGAACTTTGAAGAAAGTCCATGGTGTATATTTGAATTTCTCATCACTTATCGGTTCAACTCACATTAAACGTACACAGCCATTAACATTTTATGTTTTTTATCTTGAAATATGTTTCAGAATGAACGCAATCTGCCAGTCACAGTATACAGCCAATGATATATCTTCTATCAAACAAAAATGTACCTTATTTATTCTTCTTCTCAAAGGTTTCTTACATTTGATTAAAACAACATGTTGAAGAACAATATACCCGCCTACCAGTGATACAACTAGAAAGAGTCAATAAAGGCCCAATACATAAATAGCTACTAGATATGACAGCCTTTCTGAACCACCTGGTTGCTCATTAGACCTTATAAGGCAAGTTACATCCATTAGACTTGTCAATTAAATCCTTATATTATCCAATCAGCTAATAGTGATGCTTTATGGGATTATATTTATATTTATGAACATAACAAAAGCACATGTTATAATTTCATACTTTACAGTCAGTGAACATAAACACTCTCCCATGTATACCGTTCCGTATTAGTGAAATTGTTGACATTAATACGGAATAAATCATACCATTTCATGAAAAATGGTGACCTTGTCCTACGGAAATTGAGAATATGTTTCACAGCAAGTTCGCATGGCGACACTGTATAGCACATGCTCTGGGGAATTGATTCTACTTTCTATAGACACCAAACACATCTCTGTCCATAGAATAATAAAAAGCCTTAGGGTCCAAAACTCCTTTGTTTACATTTACAAAAACGAGAAAAAATGACAAAAGTTGTAATAACTTTTTAAATCTAAACCTGTTTAAAGCGATTTCACTTGCTAGCGACAGATACTTTAATCTTTCACGAACCGAACATGTCAGTTTGGTTTGTAATATCTCCAAATAAACGATTTCAACATTTTGAAAAACTCGATGCTAGTCCACGTGTTAATACGGAATGGGTAAACGGTTTCCAAGTGTTAATACGGAATGGGTGTTAAATCGTATATATTCCCGGGGAAATCACAATTTCCATAAAACTTGCAATGATGATTGTTCTGATAGCTCATTGATGGACATTGGACAGTATCTTATTGCATGCAAATGGCACGCTAACCGAAGGCGGCAACACGCCCGTCAATCGCAAGGATTGAATGCACATAAATAGTGTTCTCTTTTTTCTTAAGTATTAAAAGATAAGTTGTATATCGACGGCGTCAACACGATAGATTTACGCCCATTAATAGTAAAGATAGTTCGTTGTACTTTTTCTCATTGCATCTAATAGGTTGTAGTTTACTACCGACATTTTCATTCAAAAATGTGGTTTAGAGAGACAATTAGTACCAAATGAGGTTAGCTGTCCATTTGTTCATTTTAATTTAATACAGCAAAATGAAGCTTACATTTTATATTGTTAGTACCTCTACTGAAATACTCCATTCTGATTGGTTGATTAGCCGTCAACAATATGCACTGTTAACTGCTACTAGATACTGTTGACCGCTACTTTTGAAGAAAAAAAGTTTTATGACGTCATGATATTGAAAATATTGATGAAAGTGATATTTTGAGTTTACTAGACAAGTATAGCAAAAATGCAAATAGAAACATAAAATCAACATTAATTTACTAATGAGTAAGCCGTGATGTGCCGAATATAGAGAGTTTAGCTACTGCTGTCTTCAGATTTTCTACAATATTATTGCTGACGTGGTTCAGAGAAAATATTATGAAATGAAGCCATGCCGATTGATGATTGTATAATAAGTTTCTTCGGATTAACAAAACAATTGAAGACCGCTCCATTCGGTCAACCGTCAAAATCGTATATCTCGACTGTAAACTTTGAAACTACTGTTGACCTCGACCTTCGGTCTCTGTCAACAGTAGTTTCTCTGTTTACAGTCTCGGTATACAATTTTGCCGGTTGACCTCTGGAGAGGTCAACAATTGTATATTGTTAGTACCTCAACTGAAATATTCGATTCTGATTGGTTCATTAGCGGTCAACAATATGCACTGTTGACCGCTACAAGATACTGTTGACCGCTACTTTTGAAAAAAAAGTTCCATGACGTCATAATATTGTAAACGTTGATGAAAGTGATATTTTGAGTTTACTAGACGACAAGTAAAGCAAAAATGCAAAAAAATCAACATTAATTTACTAATAAATATGCCGTGATGTGCCGAATATAGAGAGTTTAGCTACCACTATCTTCTGAATTTCTACAAAAAAATTGCTGACGTGGTTCGCAGAAAAGATTATGAAATGAAGCCATGCCGATTGATGATTGCCGTCTATATGTGTATTATAAGTTTCTTCGGACTAACAAAACAATTGTAGACCTCTCCATTCGGTCAACCGTCAAAATCGTATACCTCGACTGTAAACCTTGAAACTACTGTTTTTTTGCCGGTTGACCTCTGGAGAGGTCAACAATTCTCCTTTTCGCGATTCGCTCTTTGAATCAGAACGTTCGCAAATATGCACTCAAAAAGCACTCAAAAAGGACAAAATTTGATTGGTTTATATTTTCTCACTATGCATTTCGCGTAGCTATTTGCGTGACCCGAAAGTTCTAAATCAAACTAATTACGCAATTTTGTTTTTACACCCGCACGCTAAATAAAACAATGACAACATCGAAAGTATTCTTCTTTGTCATTGCTTTAATAGTCTGTATACCGAGTTTAATCAATAAAAGATTGTACAATGTACAACAAAATTCGGAAACGAGTACTATAGATTTGCTTTCGGACCACTGAACAGAGTGACCTAGATAATAGCGACGCTTCTCCTTTGGTCTACTGCTCAGTTATTTGTTGGTTTTCAACGTAACTCTATGATGTAATTTGATGATGAATACTTTAATTCCGTTGTTGCATCGATGATGCAGTTTGTAGTGCGGTAAGATTGGCATGAAAGTATTGAACGGCGAATGGAATTGTTTTTTCCAATATGGCGACAAGTCAACGATCATGTGACCTTCTCTTCAGGAATATTTTCTCACTTTTCAATCATCGTTTTCACCACGCTATGAATCAATACAATGAAAAAAATAGCTGTTATATTAAGATTAATAAAAGATCAATCGTTTCTAATAATTTTTTTCTGTACCCTCGTACGGGAATATGAACGTATATATCGTTTGAAAAATAGGTGTTAAAATCCCCATGTTAAACATATGAGGGAAAACAAGGAAGTATAAATTTGTTCCTCCGCGAACTGCATCATGGGAAATATTTTGACCTTATAAGGAAAGATTTTTGCGTCTCCTCTTTGAAGAGGGAACAGCGATTTCGAGAATTGTATATTGTTTCCTTGTGAAATGAAAAATGTAGTATAGTTGTCATTACTTATGCGATATTCCCTATCACCGTGTCTAGTGCTGGCACTTAGATGATTTTCTTGCGAAGGTTTTGGTACTTCCTTCAAAACCGGCATGACACTCTTACCCTCTCCATGACGAATGAAGTTATAATTGAAGCTAAATGCCCATGCTACTGAAACCCGTATTCAAGGTATTATGTTTCATACCCCGGGTTATGTAATCATCTTAATTGCTTCATTTCATTCACGAGTGCACTGTTTCGTTCATTGAGTTTACTCATTGAGTCGACCAATTCCGTATTAACACGTGGACTAGCATCGAGTTTTTTAAAATGTTGAAATCGTTTATTTGGAGATATAACAAACCAAGCTGACATGTTCGGTTCGTCAACGACTTAAGTATCTGTCTCTGGCAAGTGAAATCGGTTTCAGGAGTTCAAGATTTAAAAAGTTATGACAACTTTTGTCATTTTTTCACGTTTTTGTAAATGTAAACAAAGGAGGTTGGGACCCTAAGGCTTTTTTATTATTCTATCGACAGAGATGTGTTTGGTGTCTATAGAAAGTAGAATCAATTCCCCAGAGCATGTGCTATACAGTATTGCCGTGCGAACTTGCTGTGAAACATAATCTCAATTTCCGTAGGACACTGTCACCATTTTTCATGAAATGGTATGATTTATTCCGTATTAATGCCAACAATTTTACTAATACGGAACGGTATACATGGGAGAGTGTAAACTAAATAGCAATTGACCAACATTTTTTTAACCAAGAGTCTTTATACATTTTGTCATGCTTGCTACATAGACTTTCCAGTTAATTTATGTAAAGTAAATGTAGGTTTCTTAGGTAAATTGATTCATATTCTAATAATCCCTAACATCTAAATTTGATATCATAAAGCAATTGCTTTTGGGGTCATTTCAAGAATTAAATGTAGAAACCAGCACAAAAGCTTAAAATGTATGGGAAATTCTGAACAAATTGAAAAATTGTATCGGTCCTTTCATCTGGTCCCTTCCTACCACAAAGGGTTGCACTAAGTCATGCGGCTGCCCTTCATTTATGCAATAATTCTGCACTTTTCAACCTCTATTACCATGTTGTACCAGGGTGTCTCCAAATTTGAAATTGATGATCTGTTTCCATTTTTCAACATACTACCCCCCCCCAGGATATCAGCAGCCCTCCTATCTTTTGTTTCATTGCAAGGCATTCTACCATTTACAGGTGACATCCAGGTTAAAATAAATATTGTACTTTATTGTTTATTTATATAAGGGGACATCTAATGCTTACAGCGCTTTGCCCCTTGTAATTGTATCTAAATGACTTGTGCTTACAATAGATATGAAAGATGATCTTTTATTTTT